TGCAAATATTTTTCTCCATGATTAGGCCGTCTGTGTTCCCTAATGGACATCCATATCACATTAGGCTTCTATCTTCCCAAAGAGACTGGGAGATACTGGTGTAATCTCCCTTGGTGATTACATTTCAAAGCACGGCTCCCAGGCACTTGAGAACGACTGTCCTGGGTTGCAAAACTGGCAAAATGCTTTTGAAGAGGTTTACATCTCAAAGGGATACAGAAAAAGAATGTACAACTGCAAGTTTTCTCAAGTAAATAAATGCTCTCAGAAAAAAAAGAGGTTAGGGGGCAACCCTCAGAAAGAAGCCTTTCTAAAGCTTAGTCAAGCTGGAGGCAAGACCATCCGGGTCATAAGAGTGATGGTAGATGTTATTCAGCAAGTCTCACATCATTGGATCATTCAAAATGTAAATTCTAGATGTTTCAGACCTAGCTTAGAGTCCTCCTCTCCTTTCCCGTGTCCTCCCCACTGCCTCGTAACCATGAAATTGAGGTAGCTACCAGCAGGTGTCTATCAGCTGTGCAACCTGGGTCTTTTCATTTCTCAATGGGCATCATAAATACATACTACACAGCATTTGTACAAGGAGTAAATCTGATATGTATAAGGCAATCAACATAGTGCCTGGCATATAGTAACAACTCATTGATAGTAATAAATGGTAACTACCAATATTTCAGCCAGTTCTCATCTGTGCTATTGTAGTATCATAGAATGAATATACTATGATACTAATATTACTAAAATACACAGAAAATAAGTTAAAAGAATTATGACTTTTATCAATCAAAATAGAGCAGAAGAAGCTTTCAATGATATGGCACCTATTGCCAACGTTCCATGTCCTACCCTCCACACTCCACCCTATTTTCTGCCAAATTTCTTTCATCTGTTTTTTCATAGTTAAATATTTCCCCCATATAGATCTCAAATCTGCGTGTTATTGAGCCTGAGGGTATAACGCAACTTTTAAAATTACAATCTGTGTTGTATTTTCTTTCTTACACTTACATTTGAAGCATGTTTACTCTTTGAAATCCCATGTGGGATTGACTTTCCAGAAAGTTCCTTGCAAATTCTCCCTCAAAAGAGTTTTCCTTTGTTTGTATCATGGTAGCAATTTTTAAAATTTCAAGATTTGGACTCTGGCATTATAACTGCTCAGCGTGCCTAACAGAAGTGGTCTGTTTCATCATCCAATGAGCTCTGCCTGTTTGTGGATGTGACAGCCCAGTGGAAGGAAGCCAAGAGCCTATAGTAGGGATCCCGGGGAAAATGTAAGCAGCTGTGGCCATGTAATTTAAAACCTCTGGAAAGTGTGCTGCAGTCTGTGCACAGCGTCAGTGTAACATGGGGACTGGATGCAGCCCGCGCTCCGGAGGACTGCCTCGCCTGCTGCAGGAAAGGGAAGACTGAAGGGACAAACCTGGGTGCAGCCAGAAAGGTCCAGATAGATGAGCTTGTGGCATCCGTGCCCTAAATTCAGGTACCGTAAGCCTTTGTCTGTGAATTTTCTGCAATAAGCCAAACTAAGGTTCTGTAGGTTGTGGAAGTGCCTGAAAAGACAGGGTGAGAGGAGAGAGGAAGGAAAGTGAATATCGTTGTTTTCTCACATCTTTCTCAAGCCACTGTGACAAAGAGGAGTAAAACTGTAAGTGAATCTTTTCTCCTTGCAAATGTTCAACAGTTGAACCTATTGTTAATGCTCTTCCTGTTACGTCAAGGAGATTACAGTAACGAGATAATGCCTAATTACATTTCAAATGAAAGGAAAGATGTGCCTAGATTTTTAAGAAAGCTGAGATAAAGCCTGGAATTGTGGGGGCTGGGAGGTTTGTGCATTGTTTGGAAGTTAGCTTGTGTTTGAAAGCAAAGTTACAGAGTTTGCATTATTGTTGCATTTAGGTTTTAACTTTGAGGCACCAAAGTAATGAGTAAAATGTTTAGAAATACAAACCCTTTGTAAACATTTAAATGGCGATGAGCTGTTACATGAGAGTGAGGATTTGGACAGAAAGGAGGCAAAGTTGACACAACAGGCTCTCAAAATGGACATGATCAGCAAATGCTTTGAGAAATTAGATTTGAATACGCATGATTTTGTAACATCTTCATAACTATAATTAAAGAAAGACTAATTGATATGCAGAGCTTAAAAATGGATTAAGAAGAGTCTACAGATGAGTGGGCAGCACATGAAAGGAATAAAAACTGTCAATCTCACTGGAGTTGAAACTGATTAAATTAAATTAAACATGACCAAAATGAGAGCTTCCAGAAAAAAAGGAGGTAATTAGGACAAGCTATGCAAGGGCTCACAGTTTGAGGACACTCTGTGGACAACTTTCCAGATCCTCTTTATCCTGGCATTTTTTAAAAAGTACAAGAACTCCCACAACTGCCTGCTCTTGTAATGAAATTAACAACATGCTCTTGATTTGTGGTCTGCAACAGTTTAACAGCAAATGGGAAAGCAAAAAGAACCAAAGTGAAAGAAGATGCCTCTCTGTCCAGCAAAAGCCCACAAGTGAATAATAGAGTTTACCTTCACATAAATGGGAAATAAGATCTGCGAGCACTGACCGTTAATCAGATTTATTCCGAAAATCTGAAAAGCACATGTATGTGATACAATGATTTCCATTCCATAGAGAATCACTTGGTTCAGAACACAGATTCTTTCTGGTAATTGCTCTGTCTATGAGATGCAACAGAACAGACAGGGACGCCTTCTGGATCCCCGGCGGCTGGGTGGGCAGGGCTGTGAAGGAAAAAGCAGCACTAACATCCCAAAGACACGTCCCCCGTCCTGGGTCCCTTCAGTTAACTAAGAGCTATGCCAAAGTTTCGGAAATGCTTTATTTTCTCCTCCCTGGAGTATACCCTTGTGATTCAACTGAGTAAAGTACAATTTTTCTGGGGATGGGGGGATGGACATCATTTCTAACAACTTTAGCTCTCTAATTCAGAGAAAGGAATTGTGAGAAGACAGCAGGACACAATGGGAAATACACAAGGTTTTGGAATCTGACCAAATTGGATTCAAATCTCAGCTCTGACACTTATTGCAACTTCCCTAACCACTCAGATTGTTTCTGCATTTGTTAAGTGGAGATTATATTAACTTTTTTTTAACCCTAACTGTGGGCCTCCAGCTTTCCTGTAGCTTAGTTTTCTCATCTTTGACATGGATGTAATCCTACCTGCTTTTCCCCTTAGAGGTGTGACAATTACATGACGACATAAGTGTAATAGTATTATATTTAGAGTGACTTTTGATGATTATAAACAGCAAAAAGGCTGGCCTGGCTCTGTGGTTGAGTGTCAAGCGATGAACCAGGAGGTCATGGTTCGATTCCCGGTCAGAGCACATGCCCGGGGTTGTGACTCTATCCTCAGTGTGGGCGTGTAGGACATCCACTCCAGCAGGGATATATGGTAGAGGCTTTAAAAATATATATTGCTATTATTGCTACTACCTCAAATAACAACACATTAATTGTTCTTATGAAGCTTGTACTATCTTCTTCCATTTAACGAAATAGATACTCATTTGACAAAAGTTATGCATAAAACTGATTCACATTGCATCTACACCCTCATTTTGGTCATGGTGGTAATGCCATGTTTAATCATTTTCAACTCCAGTGAGATTGAAAGTCTCTGATTTTGTTTTTATTCCTCTCATGTGCTGCCCACTCATTTGCAGACTATTCTTCTCATCCCATTGTTCAGTTGTGTATATCAGTTAGTCTTTTTTTAACTATAGCAGTAAACCTGTTTCTTACAAAATCATGAGTATTCAAATGTATTTAAATGTGGCACAAGCCTATTTAATTTCTTAAAGTCCATGTGATCAATTATCAAATACAAAAAAAGAATGGAAATTGAGCTAGGAGTTCTTAACTTTTTGTGTGTCAGTTATCATACAGATCTATGGATCCTTCGTCAGCATAATGTTACTGATGCATAAAATAAAATACTTAAGATTACAAAAGCAGCCAATCATACTGATAGTCATTATCAAAGTATTTTTATATGATCTAATAGAGGTCTAACAACTACCATGATTTTGAAGTAGTGGCAAGTGCCAATGTTATTTTGAAATATTTGTAACAAGAATAATAATAAGAATATTATTAATAAGAAGAAGAAGAATATCTGTGGTGCATATGGTTGAAATAATCCCACATTTTACCTACACTTCCATTAGAGCTTAGTAAAAATAGAGGGGTTTTTTCCCCCACATCAACATTCATAGAACTTCTGAATTCTATCCTTGGTCCCCTTGGGGGATCCACTGGCCCCAGGCTATGAATTTGGGATTTGGCAAAAGAGGTGTTCATTAGAGGAAATGACTCCCAGATTGAAAGTCACTAGCTGGCTCTCTTCAACCTCATGGGGACCATTGGTTTGAAAGCAAAGTACGGGAATCTTGAGTGGCCCTGTAGGCCTTTCTAGGGATTTACAGGGCCACAGGTTTGAAACTGCTGAGGAAAAGTATCAATTGACTGTGAAATTGCATTTGGCAAATTTTATGCAATACTGCTACTTTCTATTTTGAATTTTGACAAAGAAATGTGTCCCTTACACGAGGAAGATCTGGTTCATAATTTTCCCAGCCCAGAAACAACTGTATTATTCGAATTATGCTTCAAGGCAGTGTTTGCAGTCAGTGTTTATCTTTTCCTAATTATTTGATAACTAAAAGTTTCTAATGTAAGGGGAGGTTTCTGTTTGTTATTTACTTTTCGACTGTTATGATAGTCTTTAGGAAACCACAATTCTTATAGAAACTACAGAGATAATTTTTTCTCCATTCTTCTGGCTTTTTTTACATCAAAGAATCGAGGCCTTCTGTGTTGGATCTCCGATACTTGAGGCAGTTACTACTGGAAAGAATATAAAATTACTATGTATTTTACCAAAAATTTCTCTAAAAAATCACCAAGACAAGACCCAGTCTGTAAAAGAGAAGATTCACATGTGGATTCTTTTGAGATGAGTGTGTGGGCTCTTTAGTTTCCCAGAGGCCGTTTCGCATGATAGAATCCCTACAGAAAAGCCAAATACAGTGGTTTGACCTCCTATTTACAGGCTAGGTCTTGAGGATGTCCAGTCCAGGCAGCAGCTTCCTCTCTCTGCCCCACTCTGATGGGCACTGATGAGGCTATACAGCATGAGAATGTCTGCCAGTAAGAAGTTTCCAAGCCAACTGAAGGATCAATTCATCCATATGAAAAATAATGAGATACCACACCACTCTCACATATAATGCTCCATAATACTTTAATGACCACTCTTTGCCTAGAATGCCTCACACATAGTAGTTCATCAATATATGATGAACATGTGAATGAATGTTGCTATTAGAATTCAGGGGAAGGAGAAACCACGTAGACTTCTGGTGGATGGTGTGACTTGAGGTGCAAAGGCTGTGGATTAGCATAGACAAGAAGAAAGGCATTCCAGCTGTAGAGAAAGAAAAGCATGTAGCAATCAGATGACCAGAGTTCAACACTTGCCTTGTTTGATATCTTGGCAGATAAGTTTGATCAGATAATGTTAAAGGAACCGGGAAGAGACAAGACTTCAAGCATGTCAAAGACATGATCAGACTACTGTTCCAGATGATACTTCTTGCAACATAAGGCAAAGCTGACTGAAGAAGGAAAAGAGACCAGAGGCTGACCCCTCAGGGTGCTGTGCCAGAGGAGGTGCTGAGAGTGCCACCTAGGTTCTGGCAATGGGAATAAAAGAAAGGGGTTTCATTCAGGAAATATTTAGAAGCAAAAAATATCCTGGAATGGGCATGAGCTGTGGCTAGCCTCATTTTCAACTTTAGAAAACTGAACAAGTCCCCAACCAAGAGAGGAAAAATATTCAATTAAAAAACTGGCAAATCAATGTTGCCAAGAAGGGCAAACAAATTACATCTTTCTTCTGGCAAAGCATTTCTTTGGGAAAAAATGCTAAAGGCACTGAAGAGAGAATGACAGCAGCAACAAGCAACATTTCTCTGGTTATTTATAGTTTAAAGAACACTTTTGCATACCCAAGCATGTTTGAAACAATGGAAAACAAAGCAAAAATAGAGAATCATTATGAAATATATTTTCATAATAGATAAGAAAGTCAGTGTACATTCTTTTCATATGACAAAAAGCACACATCAGTATTGAGTAGCACTTATCCTAAATTTTCGCTAAATAGCTAAAAACTGAAAGTTAAAATCACAACAAAATTCTCATTTTGGGGGCCTATTTTTCTATCTGTTGCCACACACACATTCATATATGCCCATGTATGCATACAATATATATCTTAATATGGAATGTCTAAAGAAAAGTAGCAAGTGATGTTTTATAGAGTTAGAGGAACTTATAGAACTCCAGCTCACAAGAGCCTATTAAGCATCGCTTCCCAACTCCACATTCGGTGATGACATGTTGGTAGCTTAAAACTGGCTATGGTGGAAGTAATTACACTATAGAAATCAGTAACTTCCACAAATCAGAACATCCCCTTTCCCTGTGCCCTGGACAATTATTAAGCATTTACCAAAATACTGCTATTCTTGGAGCACACTTTGAGAGACAGAGAATGCAGTATGCTCTCTGGATAGAAAATATATTCAGAGATAAAAATGAGAGAGAAGATGACAGCTTTGAAGGACAAGAATAAGAATTTGATCTAGCCCAGCCAGTGTGGTTCAATGGTAGAGCGTCGATCTATGAACCAGGAGGTCACGATTCGATTCCTGGTCAGGGCACATGCCCAGGTTGCAGGTTCGATCCCCAGTGTGGGGCATGCAGGAGGCACCTGATCAATAATTATCTCTCATCATTGATGTTTCTATCTCTCTCTCCCTCTCCCTTCCTCTCTGAAATCAATAACAAAAATATTTTTTAAAAAAATTTGATCTAAATATAAAAAGGGATTCTTAAGATAAAACTGGAATAAATCGAATGGAAGCATTAAAAAGAAAAATACCTTCTTTGACTGAGAAAAGAGCTAAGTTTTAATGTTCAGGTTTACTATGTTTCAGGAAAATTAATTGAAAGAACACAATTAAACTTGGAAAATACTTTTAATAACTCAGAGAAAAGGAATTTCTTGTATCTTGGCAGGAAAAAAAAATAGGTTACCAAAAAAGAAACCAAAAAATCAAGCTGGCTTTAGACTTCCCTGCAACCAGAAATATCAAGATTATGGAACAACATTTTCCAGATATAAAAGATGTGTAGCACACAATTTACAAATAATAGTAAAATACACAATACTCCCTATTGTAAACTCCTTGTAACGAATCAATTCTCACACAGGCTTTCATTGACTTTTGCCAAACTCATTAATGTAAATAGTACTTCCTGGAGATGGTAGATGTTCCAACAGGTAACCAGAGCGTGGCAACAGGGAATCTGGGACTCAGGGCTGAAAGCATGAGGCATTCTATTGTAGAGAAGTCCCGGGCACTGGACTGGAATTTAGGGACCCAGCTTCAATGCCCAGGAAGAGGGACCAGAAAAAGACAGCAGAACCTAACTCGACTCAGGCAGAGGGCCTGGGCCCGCCACGCCAGGAGAAGATAGGCGCCAGCTCGGGGACTTGAAAGCAGCAGTCCTGCTATCAGAACAGGGGTGCCACAGTATTGGGGTGTGTGTCAGAGGAGCACTGCCTTTGGAGAATGCTAGAGCAAGCCCGAGCGAGAGGAGCGTAATTCTTTTCGGTGCAATACAGATAAAAGAAGCATTACCTTGGAAGGAGCCGCATCGTCCGGTTGGTGATAGCTGTGTAAGACAGGTTGAGATACAGGATTCCCGGACAACACTCAGAGATGTGTTTCATTGACTCGTCCTGCATGAACGCGGAGAGAAGAAACTTATCAAAGCCTCACAGGCTTTTCTAGCCTCTCTGCCCTCTCTCCCTGCTTCAAAAAGTATATGCATGTGGTCTCTTCATATTCTTTGATATTAGTAGTAAATCAAATTAAACAGAAGTATTGATTTTGCTTGAAGCTCCACTACTTCCCCTTTTTCCGGAAATCAAGTTCCATTTCGTCACAATGACATTACATCAAAATGTGAATTCTCACAAGTTCAATTCCCTGACAAGTAATTTGACCTCAAGTGTTCAAGGGTCAAACACTCCTGACTCTTTGGATGCATGAAAGTGATTAAAAAATGGATCAATTTTTAAACTTACTGAAATTATTATGCAGGAATAGTAAATGCTCTTAACTGGACTTCATTAAAAGTGAGGCCATGCTTACACATCTATATTTATTTATAGATGTATGTGTATGCGTGCGTGTGTGTGTGTAATTAAGTTTCTGTGGTTCTGTTCCTGAATATATTAAAACAGCTAAACAGGTTTTCACCAAATGTATGACAAGTTTGAGGTGGCCTAAAGTAAAATATAGGCTACATGAAATTCAGGGTTGGGAGTACTGTCGGAGAGGATCTCAAAGATTCAAGCAACTCTCACCCAGAGAGCTGAACCTGAAGTACAAGACAATGGGGTGACTGTGACCTGAGAGAGAGAGGAAACAAACAGTGATTTCGAGCATGAGCCCTAAATGGACATTTACAAGACCAGATGAACTGCAAGCTTGATTGCAATGGGGCTGTTCTCATAGGGTAACTACTTATAAACACTCTAGAATGAGTAGCAGCAGTTTTTATTTATTTAATGATGGTTGGTGAGCCTCCCCAGGAACACAGAAGTGGTCAGCTAGTTTTAAATATTTATGGTACATTGGTTCTAGAAAGAATAGGCCATTGCAGGAAGAGGTACATTGTCACTTGGCTAGGGGATGTGGTTTGGGGAAGAGTTCTGCATGGCCAACACGGTCACCCCGAACATCACTGAGGATTGCAAAAGTTTATTTTCAGCTGGATCATCAATGTTTAACATTCTATTCCTAATTATTTTCTGGAGTCATGGATATTAAAGTAATAAAATCCTGCAGGTTGGGCCTCTATCACAAGGGACAGGAACTGGTTGATTTACAGGGGCAGCAAACCACACTTTAAAGAGGACCCAGGTTGTAAAACTGTAGTTCTACTATAGGAAAGGTTCTATGTGCCAATGCCACAGGCGTGCAAGGGCAGAGCTTTCATTAGACTCTTGCCACTGCTTTGGAGCTGTCAGCAGTTTTCTAGACACCCCACCACCAAAATGTAGGATTTGGAGTTATGTGGAAATTACAGTATAGTTTTCCCAGAAGCAATGGAGAGAACAACCATAATGTGTGGCATTGTTTGTAGTTTATACAAACAATATCTCTCTTCAAAAATATTCATGATGCCAATCAAACATCAAAGTGATTGTGGACCTTTTGGAAGACTCTGGCAACAATGCATCTGGGGCAAGAGGAGGTTAGAAAGCTGGTTAATGCACCGATAGGGAGGTAGCCACAGAGAAGATGAAAATTTGGGGACCAGGAAAAGGAAGATGGAGTATGCTTTATGTATCAGAGGACTCTGATTTCCCTGTGATAGGAGGAGGCAAGCCATCTCTGCCTTTTTCTGTTTGGAAAAAGCGCAAATGAATCCTCTTCTCAATATTTAAAATAAGTTTAAGTTCAAACCCCAGATGTTAGAACACAGAAATGTAAGAGCTGTTTGAGTGTCTACATTGCAGAATGGCTTATGAATTTGTCCACAATGCACTCAAACATTTCTGAAGGTAATATATTCTTAAGGCAAGCTCCTTAGAAATTAAGGCTTTTTGAACGAATGGTACTCAACTCCTTAAATGTAAACTCGTCTTCCAGTCTGTCTCAAGGGGAAAAACAATAATGAGATGTAATTGGATAAAATGGTCCTCCCTGTATATCATTAGACTCCAAAACTGGAACATATTTTGATGTTTACAAATGCAGTGCAGGTGGCATTGTTTTGACTTTCCTGTGAGAAAGCCAGATTTAAAGAATATGATGTCAAGTGCAGAACTGAATGTCCCTGAAGGCAAGAACTAAAACTTGATTCATTTTTAAATCCCTATAACACTAATAATAAGTAATAAATTCCCTATATATCTTTATATAGATAGAGATAAATACAGGGTGTCCCCAGAAAAAATGTATACAAACTTTAACAGCGGATAGCTCAATTTTTAAGATAAAATATATTTTAATAAACTCTGCCTTTATAATTATTCAACGTACGTGTGTTCATATTTTGGGACACCCTATATATTATTAACATAGTAGGTACTAAAAGGATCCACAGAAAGCTCAGAGGGAAGGTAGGGGTGAATGGTGGTGGGTGGGAGGTCATCAACCAAAGAACTTGTGTGCATATGTGCCTAACTTATGGACACAGACAATAGCGTGGTGAGGGCCTGTGGCAGGGAGCAGTTAGAGGATAGAAGGGGTCAATGGGGGGGGGGGGAGGACATCTGTAATACTTTCAACAATAAAGATAAATTAAAACTATATTAACAGAATGAATGAAGTAGAGTAGAAAGTTAAGAGAAAGAATGATGATGATGAGACTGGGGAGGCAGCAAGGAGGAGCCAATTCATGACAACTCCTCACCTCTGCCCAGGGGTGTGGATCCATGCTGAGCTGGTGCTTAATGAGGGCACCACACCATCAGGCCCCTCGTTCTAGTCCCCCGTCTCCTCAGGAACTTGCTCTGTTCATTGTTCAGGTGAGTTTCCTCCAGCTTCTGTAACCCTAAAACAGGTTGCCCTGCCTCTGTTCTTCTGCCACTCCCTTAGTCACTGTCCCGGAACAACAGGTTTATACCTACTGCCTCATTTTCTCACCTCTTGTCCACTTTGCAATTCACTACAGCTAGATTTCTGCCCCCACTATTCTTTGGAAACTGTTCTAGCAAAAGCCTCCAGTCACTTCCTATTTTCAAATCTAGGAGGCCTTGCTCACTTGGTAACTTCCTTCTGAAACTCTTCACTCTCTTGCCTTTTGTGATACCTCTCTATTCTCAACCTACTTCTCTTATATTCCTTTTTAAGGGCCTTCACTGTTTCTTCTCTGACTGCTCCTAAAAGCAAGCATTCCCCATGGTTCAATTTTAAGTCCTCTTCTCGTCCATGCATATCACCTCAAAATACAGGCAAAATCCACTCTCCCTTAGGACCCGAGACCTTTTAAACTCCACTTCTCAGGATTTGAGGGCTGGAAAGTTGGGTTACCTTTTAAAGTATGTTCTCTCTCCCTCTCCCTCTCCCTCTCCCTCTCCCTTTCCCTCTCTAGGTTGATCTTATTTATTTTTGAAATGTTAGTTATGACATATATCAATGTCAACCCAAGATGAAAGCTCAAGTTCTAGTCAGTGTTGTCCATTACCTACTAGAATCTCCATATAGTTTCATTCATTAAACATATTCAGGGTGGAGCAACAGTAGGTTTACAGTTTGTGTGGAAAGTAATACAATGATTAATAAATAATAACACAAGAATAAACTCTGTGCTTCACATACTCACAACTGTAAACCTACTTCTGCCCCACTCTGTATTATAGTGTATTTCCTATGCAAGGCCTGTGCCCTGTGCTACAACTACCCCCAAAAAATGAGACACATCTCCTGCCCTTTGGGCCTCTTGGGTTGTGGAGGAGGCAGAACCACAGTGATTAGGGCTACCTAGGACAGGAACCCAGAGGAGCAGCAGCAAACTCCTCCCTGGGGGTCGGTGATGTCTTGGGAAAGGCGGTGGGGTCTAAAGTAAGCCTTTAAGCCTGCCCAGGAGGAAAGCAGCACCCGAGGACTGAGGCAAAGAGTATTCCAATCGAAGAGCACAGCCTGAGCAAAGGTAGAGCAGTGAGCGGCAGCCTGGCGAGCCAGCAAAGAAGGCAAAGCAGCTCGTGGTTGCTGAAACAATGTGTGTGCAGGGTTTGGAGCAAGATGAGGCTGGAAAGGGAGGCAGAGGCAAGACCACAGAGGGTCTCCAAGGTACAGTAATTTTAAAGAGCTTTGACTTTATCCAATAATGTAAATGGTGAGTATGTGTATAAATGATGGAAACTGGAAATGAAATAGTCAGATCTGCCTTTTAGAGAGAGTATCAGTGTGCTCACAGGGTGGGAGACAGACTGGAGGTAGAGGAAAGCCTGGAGACAGGCCAGGAGAGAGCTGGCTAGGTTCACATGTTCATTCCCATCTTCTCTGGCTCTGCCACCTCGAAGACCATGACAATGAGCCTATTGTTTCTGCGGGGTCCCAATTTTTCTGTCTCACATACACATGGCTTTAAATATAAATATAGTTCATGTTTGTGTAATTGTTGAATTGTTTCCACTTTCCAAAGACTCCAACACTGGACGTATATCTACAGGGTTAATAACAGCATTATATAAGTAGGCTAACATTTCTTGCCAATGTTTAACACAGTTTGCTTTTTTCCATATTTAATCCTAAATGAGCACACAGCCATATGTTTTGGCAACACCTCTGTGTATTAGCACTCCAACAGAGCAAGCCCAAAGCTATGTAAACAACAGTAAAATAAGCTTCTTATACTCACCGTGAGTGTTGAGCAGTCAGAGACATTCAGCTCTTGCAAATTTTTACAGAGGCCTAAATTAAACAAGTGACATATCACTAAACAACATATTACAAATGTTTAAACTTAAAGTTTTTCCATCCTACATTCAATGCGATGTATTCATTAGAACACAGAAACCTTGGCAAGTCTTATTCTAAGTACTGGTTTCTTTTCCCAGAAAAACGATTTCTTTTGGCTTTAAAATTAAAATATATACACATGTTTGTTATTGTTTGAGGATTACAGAAGGAAGCAGAAAAGAGAAAAATACTACTTTGTGGAAAACAGCATATATTTAGAGCTTTTGGCTTCAAAGTGCTGACAAAAACCAACCTGCTTTTTCGTGGCATGACTTTTTGTTCATTTTTTGTTGTTGTTTTCTGTTTCCTTTTAACATTTTATTATGAAAGATTTCAAGCATACAAAAATGTTGAGAGAACTAAAGAATTGTACAATAAATATACCCACCACCTAGATGCTACAATTTACATCTTATTGCATTTGCTTTATCACATATCCACTTGTACATCCATCTCTCTGTCCCTCAATCCATCTTATGTTTTATGCATTTTAATGTAAGTTGCAGACATCAGCATATTTTCCTCCAAATACTCCAGCATGCATATCACAAATAATTCAGCAAGTATAGTAATTAACAAAACACTTATGATTTTTTTAGGTTAAATTGACATACAATGTACGATGAATTACAGTTAGAGAAGTGGAGGGTTAGAAAGGCCAAGTTCCTGATTAGCCCTGGGACCAGAGGCAACTGTGCAGCTTATGGTCATGCAAGGAAGACAAGACATGCACACGGAGCTAGATAGGAAAGTGACACACAGTCAACACTCCTAGGGTTTAGACTGACAGGAAATAAAACTCCAAATCTGAGACAAAAGAGTAGCAGTTAGGAGCAGGAACACAAACAGTACACAGGAGGGATGCTTGAGGCAAAGAAGGGGGAGGACACCCATCAAGAAGGAAAACCCTAGGCTAGGGAGTGATGCTGGCATTCACACGGCCAATGAGTAGAAAACACATCTGCCATTCATAACCACATAGCCCCACAGTAATAACAACAGAAATGTTGTTAATTATAAATCCATTTTGAGCATTTCTTCATCTGCCAAGAATGGACTATGTCCTAAGTCATAAATGCAAACCAAAACCACTTTCAGGATGAAAAAAAAATGGAAACAATTATTTCATATAAAAATGGAGACAATTCTTTAATATGTGCAGATCTTGGAAGTCATCAATAATACTTGCTGGCTAAGGAAAAAATAGATTGCCTCCCAAATGTAATAACTAGGTTTATGAGATTAAGATTTTTATGGAATAGTTACTTGAGAGTAATTCATGCATTCAACAAGTTTTTGCCAAGAATCTGCTTCGTGCTAGAAACGCTACAGGTGCCAGAAATACAACAGTGAACAAAATAGACAAAAATCCCCACCCTGATGAAGTGTACATCCTTGTTTGGGGGGAGGGGGTGGGACGATTATAAACAAAAGAAATATCTGCTTTGACAGATGGCGATAAGTGCTCTGGAGAGAAATAAAACAAGAAAGGGGTGGAGAGCAGCCGGGAATGGAAAGGGGTGTGCCTTCCAATACAGCAGAGCCGTGACTGCTGAGAAGGTGACCTTGAGCCAGGGATACCGATACAGTTCCGTTTACCCTGAGCGTTTCTGGAGTCCACATTCAACATGACTGGTGGTTGGGAGACAGTAGATGAAAGAATATGCTCAGGGAGACAGCCATTGAGTCCTCTCTTTTCTGCACATCTCAAGGCTGCAAGAGGGAGGAACCCCTTTAATTCTTGAATCCAATGTGCTGACAAACTACAGGTTTCGGTTTTCACAGTGCTAAATCTAACACTGTGGAGTGCTTCCCCTGGACCAGGCACACACAGGAGCCTGTTTCATCCTCTCAACAATACTAGAGGTATCTTCAGTCCCATTGTACAGATGCAGAAGGTGAGATGAAGTAATTAGCCTGAGGTGGCACAGATTAGCAACTAGGAGGGCCTTGATTCATGCTCAGGGCTCCAACATTTAGCCACTAAACAAGGCAATTGGAGGGTGCAGAGCCTTATACACCACTGCTCTGCATATGCCTTTATTATCTGGAATGTCTTGCTTAAAAAAAAAAAAGCTGCTATTTGTCAATAACGGTGCTTATAATGTCCTTAACTAATTTTTTTTTTTCCTGCAACCTAGGGACTCTACCATACCTCAGTTGGATTTCTTTGTTCTGATCTGCATTAGTTAAGATTACCCAAACTTGGATTTCAAAGGAATACTTTCATTGTTCCATCTGTCATACCAAGTAATTGGGGCCAGCTGTGTGTCAGGATGCGAGTGGTTACCATCATCATCCTGCTTTCCTTTTGTAAAGCCGCTGAGCTCCGCAAGGCAAACACTGGGGGAGTGAGAAGCCGCGCGAATCCTGGCCGGGTGGGTGGGGGCCGGAGAGGCTCCAGCCCTGTCAAACGCTACGCACCGGGCCTCCCCTGCGAAGTGTACACGTATCTTCATGAGAAATACTTGGATTGTCAAGAAAGAAAACTAGTTTATGTGCTGCCCGACTGGCCTCACGATTTGCTGCACATGTTGTTAGCAAGAAACAAGATCCGCATATTGAAGAACAGCATGTTTTCCGAGTTCAAAAGGCTGAAAAGCTTGGATCTGCAACAGAATGAGATCTCCAAAATTGAGAGTGAGGCTTTCTTTGGTTTAAACAAACTCACCACGCTCCTACTGCAGCATAACCAGATCAAAGTCTTGACCGAAGAAGTGTTCATTTACACACCTCTCCTGAGCTACCTGCGCCTTTACGACAACCCCTGGCATTGTACCTGTGACATAGAGACGCTTATTTCAATGCTGCAGATCCCAAAGAACCGAAATTTGGGGAACTATGCCAAGTGCGAAAGCCCACAAGAACTAAAAAATAAAAAGCTGCGTCAGATAAAATTGGAAGAGTTGTGTAATGAAGAAGAAAAGGAACAATTGGACCCGAAACCCCAAGTGTCAGGGAGACCCCCAGTTATCAAGCCTGAGATGGACTCTTCTCTTTGCCACATTTACGTGTTTCCTATACAAACACTGGACTGCAAAAGAAAAGGTTTGTAAGTTTCTTTTTCTTTAATTTCAGAAAGAGGAGGGAGGGAGGGAGGGAGTGAGGGAGGGAGGAGAGAGAGAGAGAAACATCGATGTGAGAGAGGAACATCAATTGGTTGCCTCCCAAACACACCCCCACTGCAAACTGGGTATGTGTCCTGACGGGGAATCAGAACCTGCCACCTTTGGGTTCATGGGATGAAGCTCCAACCAGTGGAGCCAACACGGTGTGTAAAGTTTCTTGCTTTTTCTTTTTCATGGCAAGTTAAAATGTTCTTTGAATCTTATAACTCATTCCTACACCAAGCCATGTCTTGGAATTTCTGGTGTAACTTCCCCCAGAAATCTTTCTCCAATGACAGTGCTGGAGTCCAAACTCAAGATGGTTGGTGGTTAAGGGGACATTACAGGAGGGTGGGAGGGACAGCAATTTGGGCCCTACTTTCATTCGCTTGCCGCAAGCTGTGGCTGTAAGGAATTCTTTTCATCTTAAATCTGATGTAATTTTATTGATGTAGGCAAACCAGTGGGTATGAAAGCAAGTGCAAAATGCTGTTTACATAACCTGACTTACCCCACTTGAAGGCAGAACATGGTGTGCATGTGTGGGGAAATGCCGACCTCAAGGAGAACCATGTGCAGAGCAGGGCTGGTGCGAGCGCTGTCAGAGGGAGGCCGAGTGGGATGCGGCGATGGTGTAGCTCATAGTTTAGTCTTCAGGTTTAATAAGCACTGGCTAACATCCTGTGTCTTAATTGTCCCCCAGTTACCCAAAATAAAACAAAAACACGGCGGGAAAAACTAAGTTAAAAGTATCGAATCAAAGAACTATGAGACTAAGGGAATCTTTCCAGAGTATTACCTGCTTCCTGAAAATCATTACTGGGTTTTTTCTCCCACACATTCTTAGGCAAGTACTGTGCAGATTTGCACGTACAGGATAAATTCATGAAATAAAGCAGAAGGGAGGTTTTAGTAATGCTGCTGACATGTTAGCGAAGACATTCTCAAAGTGGGGTCTCAGAACCACTGATCTACCCTAGGGTAACAAGCCGTAGGACAGTGTCTGTCTCATTTATGCACATGGATTAATAACTTATTTGTAATATTATATTAAAGCCAGATGCCATTGGATTAGGGTCTTGTGGGGCGTGGTGTCATTCCTTCCACTTACTTGGGGACAGGTTTTGCTTTGTTTTGTTTCTTTAAGAACTAAAAGGGAAGGCTCAGAACATAGAGACTCTGGCTCCTCTCAAGGGAACCATAGGCAGGAATTTGCTGACGTTGAAGAAACAGGCAACCTGAGCCAGCAGGTAGTTTGTTCATTTGTCAGCGAGGTCATGCTCAAGCCCTGCCCCCTTCTGTTGGGCTCTGGAAGGTGGCCCCTGGTTGGGTCACATCGCAGCCATGTGGCCTGGAAAGGTTTGCTTACTGTGACACCCTGTGAATTGTATACATTTTGATGCTATAGCAGAGCAATTACAGCATCGTAACCCGGGAGATGCCATTCTGGGGTCCCCTGGACTTAAGAGAGTGTTCATTAATGGAGAACCTCCTATGTTCCAGGTACTCCACACACTGTCCTGTCCACAGTTGACTACCCATTTACAGTTGAGGAAATGAGCCTCACGGAGGTCATGTGACTTGGCCAAGCGAGGTCTTGATCCTGCTGTCTTCTAAAATCCTATATTCAAGCAAGCAGCTATATGAACAATGGAAGCATTAGAGAATTCCAGGAAAGTCAGTATACTAGTATGTAGGGCCCCTGTAGCCAGATTGGGTGGAATTTCCCAAATACTGTTATGGTGAGTAGTGCTTCATTCTGAGGAGTGTGTTTTACTAGGGTTTCCTTTGTAGTGCTTAGAAACTTGAACTATATTTTTAAAAACTAACCAGGTGAGTGTGGCT